GACGTTTCTGTGGTAGTCTACCTAGACGACATCCTTACCTACTCGGAAGACATGGCTTCACATCAGGAGCATGTCCGAGAAGTTCTTAGGAGACTCCGCAAACATGGCCTATACGCCAATCCGAAGAAATGCGAGTTCCATATGGACACTACGGAATATCTCGGTTACTGCCTCTCTCCTTCCGGACTCACCATGTCCATCGAGAAGGTCAAAGCCGTCCAAGATTGGCCCGAGCCCCGTAAAGTCAAGGATGTCCAATCCTTCCTTGGCTTCGCTAACTTCTGTCGGCGTTTCATTCACCAATACTCCGACATTGTGGTCCCCTTGATGCACCTCACGCATAAAGGAGCCCCCTGGCTATTCTCCAACGATTGTCGCTCTGCTTTCAACACCTTGAAAGAGGCCTTCACTTCCGCTCCTATCCTCACACATTGGCTACCCGATGCCCCCCTCATTGTAGAAACCGACGCCTCCAATTACGTGATCTCCGGAATCCTTTCCATTCGCTGTGATGACGGAGAGATTCGCCCCATCGCTTTCTGCTCTAGAACACTCTCGGCGCCGGAGCTCAATTATGACACCCATGACAAGGAACTGCTTGCCATTCATGATGCGTTCTGATCATGGCGTCATTACCTCGAAGGTTCAGGAACCCCAATCGACGTCGTCACCAACCACAAGAACCTCGAGTATTTCTCCACCACCAAACTCTTGACCCAGCAGCAAGCCCGCTGGTCAGAGTTCCTCTCCCAATTCCACATGACTGTCCGATTCCGTCCCAGAAGACTCGGAGTTAAACCAGATGCATTGACTAGACGCTGGGACGTCTATCCCAAAGAAGGGGATATGGACTATGCTCGCATCAATCCACAGAACTTCCGACCAGTCTTCACTTCAGAGCAGCTCACTGCGTCCTTACGAGCTACGTTCCTAGCTGCCACAGTAATCCGAGCAGCCATACTCGTCGACACAGAGGCTCTTCATCGAGACATCTTAACCTCCCTCTCCTCTGACACCACAATCTCTTCTCATCTCGCTTCCCCCAACCTCCCCAACTCCCGCTGGTCCATTGATGCCAAAGGCCTCTTAAGGCTGGACAATCGCATTTACATGCCGGATTCTAACGATCTCCGTCTCCGCGTTTTGCGAGACAAACACAACCACCAACTTTCCAGACACTTCAGGCAAAACCGGACTCTGGATCTAGTACGTCGTGAGTATACCTGGCTGGGCATCCGTAACTTCGTCAAGAGTTACGTATCCTCCTGCACTTCGTGTGCCCGTGCCAAGGTCCCCCATCATAAGCCTTACGGCTTACTCAAACAACTCCCCATCCCCGAACGTCCTTGGAACTCCATCTCCATGGATTTCATCGAACAGCTACCCTCCTCTTCGGATTCACTTCCATCTTGGTCGTCGTGGACCGCCTGTCCAAACAGTGCATTTTCATCCCTACCCACGATACCATCACCTCTCCGGATCTGGCCAAGCTCTTCCTCCTCCATGTGTTCTCCAAGCACGGAGTTCCATCCCACGTCACCTCCGACAGGGGTCCGGAGTTTGTCTCTCATTTTTTCCGTTCACTTGGTAAGGCCCTCGACATCTGCCTCCACTTCACCTCTGGCTATCACCCGGAAGGAGACGGTCAGACCAAACGGATGAACCAGACGCTCGAGCAGTACCTGTGCATCTACAGCAGGACAATTGGTCCAAACTCCTGCCTCTTGCAGAGTTCGCATACAACAACGCTCCGAATGCCACCACGGGCGTCTCCCCGTTCTTTGCCAACAAAGGCTACCATCCGAACATCACCGTTCACCTGGAGCGAGACCTGACATCAGTACGCGCCCAAGAGTACTCCGTCGATCTCGACTCCCTCCACCACTTCCTTCGTGAGGAAATGCATCTCGCTCAGATCCGCTATCAGGGCCCGGCAGACTCCCATCGGAGCCCTGCCCCAGCTTTCGAAGTAGGAACCTCGGTCTATGTAAAGGCCAAGTACTTCCGCTCCACCTGACCCTCCAAAAAGCTCTCCGAGAAAAACCTCGGCCCATTCGAGATCATTGCCCGCATTGGAACTCATTCCCTCACTCTCCACCTGCCGGAAAACATGCGAGCCATTCACCCGGTATTCCATGTATCACAGATCGAACCCTCCGTCCCAAACACCATTCCAAACCGCCACCAGCCACCTCCGCCTCCTGTAGAAATCGAAGGCGAGATGGAGTTCGAGATCGAGGAGATACTCGACTCCAAGATCGACCAACGTAGACGCAACAAGTTGCTCTACCTGGTCAAGTGGCTAGGCTATGAAGGGACCGACAAGGAGACACAATGGCTCCTTGCCGGCAAACTCGATCACGCCTCCGACCTTGTCGAAGCATTCCACTCTCGGTACCCAGCGAAGCCTGGACCCGAAGCTCCTTAGGAACCCCAACTCCTCTCCCATTTCTCCTTCTCCCTTCACTCCTCACTTCTGTTTTTCATTTTCCCACTTTCTCTTTCTCTGTAAGTACAGCCCCCCTCACCTTACTAATTCTGGGCCTTCAAGGGTTCAGGCCTAAGAAGGGGATACTGTCATATCCATCCCCAGCCATCGACTTCCGGTCCCTCCGTTCCCTCCGGACTAACTCCGCTCCTTCTTCACTAACCTTGGAGCCCCCGTATTCCGCAATCCTCTCGGTACCCCTCGATGGTCACCACCCCCTCGTTTCAATTTATTACCTATGCCTCCCTAAGTACGGAGCCCCGAAGACTTCCGGACAGCTCTGACGTCTGCTAGCGCACTCCCACCTCCGCTGGGCAATACACTCGCCTGCCCTGCAGAGCCCACCTTCGGGCCTATCCCTCCTTTCTGTTTCTGGGTTATCACCTGCCTTTCCGCTAACCCTGCGACCCGACTCGTCGGTAATATTCAGTCAGCTAATGCTTTAACCCCGTTAGCTCCGCTCCGTTCGGCTCCACCAATTGCGGACCCATCTTCGCTGTAACCATATATATATCCCGCTTGTACATAGGTTACACTCCAGTAATAAAATCAACTAGAGTTACCCCCCTTAGGTTCTGATTGCCAGTCAGTGAGTTAGGGCACGGACGTGTCACTAGGCACAGCGCTCTTGGCAGAAGTCGCTGAGGCCAAAGCCCTCCGCTACGGAGACACTCCCTCATCTCGAATCCGGTCTCTGACATGCAGAGTCAATACCTGAGCACAGAGAATGCCAGAAAAGGTGGCAACAAGTGGGAATCGAACACATGCAGCCAAAAAGACTGCATAGCCTCAACTCACGCTACACTACAGCACACCAACAACAGTTACAGTTACAACTAATATTTAAACCATTAATTTTTCCACATGCCCAGGTATTGACTCCATGACCTTGACTGTGCTTCCTCAAGCTCCCAGGGTTGGGTTGGGTGCAACGACCGCATGGGTTAACACTAAATGACTTGTTGTGCGACCCTCTGCAAACTGGACTCCAGCATTGGTCATCATAATTACATGTACAATACAAAATATTTGAATCACATCACAGATGCTATTCAGTATTCCCTTATGCAGCATAACTGATGGACGCCGCCTGAAGCAGCAATACCCGCTGCTCCCACATTGATGCAGCGTTGCAGCCCACTTAGAAGTCACTCTGGAGCCGTCTTTGCGCACTGTGGTACTAGGTGGTACTACAAATGTAAAATATCATTAAGTTTTAAATCAGGACCACACCCCCAGTCTGCATATACAACCCCACTGACATTATGAACCTGAATTGAACGCCACAGCAGTATAACACTCCAAGACTGGTGAAGGAGTTTATGTGATATTATTTGGTTTCGGTGAGTAAATGTTAGAAGTTGCAGCCCAACGTGTCAGGGCCCGGCCTCTGTCCAGGGGCGGCCCTACCTCAGAACTGGACACTTGCGGTGTCCCAGGCAGCCAAGCACTGGATCCTACCCCAAGCTCCTCAAACTCACTAAGCGGGGATTGAGTTGTCATGTATTATGGAAGGTAGCTACAACTTGCCTAAGCGGGGATTGAGTTGAGAAGAAGGGTAAGTTTCCCTATTCCCTGCTTGGCTACTATAAAAGGGAAATGTACTATACAGTTTGTAACGTGACTAAGGGTAGGAGCTGAGCATGTTCCGCGATGTGGAAAAGGTGTCACATGGGTTAAGGCGAGTTGCTCGCCTTGACCCACGTGATTTTTCCCACGGGTTCGCATGCGGGCTGTAGTTGCGAAAGGTGTGTGAAGATGGGAGGATGAGGGAAGTGGGGGGAGGTCAGGGAAGGTGGTTCTGGGGTTGTATGGTCAGGTGTGGTTGCCCTGACACAATGCCACTGGTGGTCAAGGGAGTCACCTGGGCCGGACATTCATGCTTTGGGAAGGGGAGGGGTGCTTTGAGGCACAAACGCAGCAACCTCTTTGACTCTTTGTCTTTGCGCTTTTGTTTTCAACTTGTTGTTTACCACTCATGTTTCACCTCAGTGGTGTAGAGTCATTACAAGATGTATATAAGGACTGGACTTGCGCTAGCAGCTGATACCACCTTGGACAACCGATATCTAGACCTATAAAGGGGGGTTCTCAGGACGTTTGAAAAGGGCCTAGAAGCCTCTTTTGTATGGGAACATCCTAGGACATCCTGAGATGTTCTGACAATTCACTTTCAATTCAAATGTTCAAGTAAAGATGTCCTTAATTCACAATCCACTTCTGGAGCTGTGTGCACGCAGAATCATGAGTTCGAGTAATAATACGAAATAAAGAGGCGATTGAGAGGAATTCATCGCAAAAAACCCGATGGCAAATGGTTGAGAACTGATGGAGAAATGTGTGATTCTCGGTTCACTCAACACCGCACGGGAGTGGCATGCATGGGAAATGACATGCAAGGTCAAAGTTCAGTGCCTCTCAGATGTCAAAAAAATACGAGAAAATATGTCAAGTTTACTTTGAGGACATGTATTGTAGTGCACAAACTTCCAGGACATTTGGACTACTATTCATGCGTGTGGAAGAAACGCCCGTCCTTAGTCTTGTAAACCTAGGTTCCCTTCGATCCCATGTCCACGGTACAACATATTACAACTTACGTTCATAGTTTCTTGACGAAGCAAAGTGGTCTCTTCTTCATTTACGAGGCTCAGATAGGAAGGAGAGACAGGATGCCCATCCAAGGCGCTCATAGCAAAAGCAGCAAGATACAGAGAGGCATGATCCGTGTTAATGAAGATTTGGGGCACTTTGGTAGCTCCGCGAAGCTGAAGAACGCGAGCTGCCTCGATGGCCAGCAGACCATGCAGAGCCGAAGATGCGGCTTGCTGACAACATTTGAAGTGAGAAATGCTGTTCTCCAGTCCAAGCTCGGATTGTAGAGGGAGGGACTAACGCTTTGGGGCAACGGGAGGAAGGGTTCGCCTCCATCGAAAGAAACGTTCGATCTAAGATCCGCCACTTCCTTCGGCAGCCCGAGTTCGTAAACGAGGTTATCCAGTATCTTTGCGGCATCAATATGGACAGAAGGGACACCGTTATCAGCGATATTCATGTCAAATGTAGCTTACTTCCCCCAGTGCTAGTTTCAAATGCTGCATCGTGTGAACCGATGAGTCAATTACCACACTCTCACCTCCCGAAATTACGTAAATGTTGTCACTTTTGCTGACGTTATGGTTTTTCCTTCTTTGTCTAAGGATCGTGTGACTAATATACGCCCCGTCCACATTGATCTACGCTCGAAGAAAGGTCAAGAGCAAATGGGTCATTTGCTGGCATCTGCAGACATATTCTTGCAAGGTACTGTCCAATCATATGCAATTGAAATGAGGTTGAAAACTGAAATGCTGACGACAAACAAACTGGACCTGGGGCCATGAACAGGCTTGGTCTCTCGCATGGACGGCTTGCCGAGCTCGGTAACAAAAGAGGAAACCCTTATATCATCGTGGACGAAGCGTGCTATGGTGGTGTGGCGGAGAATGCTTCATGGAGTCTCCGACCAGGATACAGCAGATCGCTGATGGGCTGAGCGGCGTCGCATGGGAGACCGGTGTAGCATCTGGATTGGACGAACCGGTCAACCCCTGCTTGCCGATATCCGACTATTGCACAGGCACCTTATGTGCAGTCATGGCGGTTTTGGGTCTCGTGAGACGTGCCGAACCTGGGAAATTTGGGGTCAAGGGCAACTCGTTCTTTTCTCCAATTTCACTCACAGCGTTAGACGCTTGGTTGAGACGTCAGGGTCAATATCCGGTTTCGTACGTGCGGGAAAAGCATGCATTGCATGGCTTCAGGTGCGATACGGGTTTCGGGCCTATGCTTTTTAAGACGCTTCAAGTGAAGTTAACCCAGGATCCATTGTATAACCGGCCGGGATTCTACAACGTCATTGAGCATGCGCTGTTCGAAGGTAGGGCTCGAGTAACAGGACAACCACGCCGCGAAGAGGGAGGCAAGGGTGTGAAGTACATATGTCTTGGTCCAGTTATCAAGTTTGACGGGATCGATACCAGCTACATTAGTACCGCGCCATGGGGCTACTTTCGACCTGGCTGGAGTGAAGAAGATGCGGATGCACTTGAGGAGGCACTCCAGGAAATTCCGTGAGTGGAGATGTGGATTGGTATCTAGGGGACATTCTGCTCTTCACTGGACGATACACTCGATGTCAAGCAAGAGCCTTTGAGTCTCAGACCCGTGACCAGGGTAAAAAAAAACTAGGAGAGTGGGACAGACGGACGATGGATGGACGGTATAGATAAATGTGTCAAATTCCCAACAGTGGAGACCCCATCTGCATGCAGACAGCGGCTCACAGGAGAGACATACAGTCCATCGATTCACATCGCTGGATTGACAAGGCAGGTTTGTGAAACGGTTGTGGATGTGTGGCGAAAATCTGCTATGGGTGAATATGCTGAATCTCATTCTCAAATTGTGACAAGCAAGAAAACTCTGACATGAACTATTTTACAGCAATATGCTTCATCCAAGGCGGGAATGAGAAGCACTTCTTTGACAGACAAACAGACACAGGTTAATTATCATCCCCATCGTAGTCGTCCCAAAGAGCGGCCTCGTCCGGCGACACCCATCGGAAGTTTCCAAGAGCCGTCGCGTCTGAATCTTTGGTTTCAAGAGCTAGAGAAGCAAGTGAGTAGCCGCATCAAGTCTTGGAGTGAACTCGAGCTAAGACTCACGGATGAACTAATGAAAAGGATGAGGGTGGGCGGAGAGCAATGTCATCAGACTTCACGACTACTGGGCGAGCTTGGAAGGAAACACGTACAACGGCCGTCAGGTCTTTACTCCTATTCTGAGGGTAAAAGAGAATTCGATCGTTGTTATAATCGACGACTGATCTAGTGCCCTTCTTGATCTTTTTGATGTCGTTGGTAGACAGATTGCCCCAGACGGCTGTGGGAGCACACTATAAAGTTTCGTTCTATGCCACGAAAGACAAATGCTCACAAATATTTTTTCCGGTGCCGTACCCAGCAGGGAGGTCGAACGAAACTTGTTTACCGATGGCAGCGAGGGTGATATTGACTTTGTTTTCATTGCTTTTCTTTCCGACAAACGCAGTGCTCGTTGTGAGTTTGAGGGGATGCCACTCCCCTCCCTTGTGCGTCGTACCGTCCACGATCCACCAGACAGTGCGCGCCTGGGTATTTTTTTTTACTCAGGCATGCGTCTAAAACACATGTAGACAGCCACCTACCGGATCTCTGCCGACAAACTGGAGGCAAAAAGAGTCATCAATATCACAAGAAAGAAGAGGGTCCAACGGGGAAAAGTACCTCAGCATAAAAATTGCCCTGATTCTCATTGCTGCCAAAGAACTGAACGATGACAGCCGCGTTCTCGTCCTTCACAGAGGTATCGCTGTAGATCACATTGTACTTCGTCTTCCCTCTGATATCGTCAATGTTGTTGTAGAACAAGGTACCGACGGGATCTAAAACCCAAGCACGTCATTAATTCCAGTATCAAGCAACCAACATGCCGCTACTACCTCTTCCGTAGGCAACGTTGTCGATGAACTCCTTCAAGATCTCAGGGGCTTCGATGCGCACGCCTTGCTCTTCGTTGCCATCGGGATTGCTGAAGTAGAACAGAGCAGAGGCGCCAGCCGACCAGCTGTATTTTTCGAAGCGTTCCTCGTATGCAGCCTTGTAGCCCTGGTTGGTCTTGGCAACAGTATAACCCATTGAACTTGGCTGTCTTGGTGTTGGAGTGTGAGTAGTAGTGCAGGTGTAGTTCGAGCCTGGGGTCTCTGGGATGAATCCATGAGCTATTTATACGCTGATTGGGTCAATAGAGGCCCTGTGCCATGAGAGATCACCAGTAATGGCTATTAATTGAGTTGCTTCGCACTTTTCTGCCCCACACCCAGACATGTCGTTTTTAATACCATGTAGACTTTCTTTGGCTGCTTGTTTCGGCCGTCGACATCCTGCTTGCGTAGTGACAATTACACCATACCCCAGGTTTTCTGGTTATTATTCTTCTAAACCAGCTGTGTTGTGAGTGTCTCGACCTTGCAGGGGCACGAAGGCGCCCATGTCCTTCGGTAAGGAAGATCCCATTCATTTACAATATATGGCGCGCAGTGGTTGATCCCCCTTTTCTCTTTCGTGAGAATATTATTCCTGATGGAGATGTGCCAGTGTAGGGGGCACTCTTGTCACCCACGGTGTTTCAACGGCTACTGCAGAGGCAAAATAGCATGCACGACTCGTATCCAGTCAATAGTCAGGCAGAGTTCTAGAGGCTCACCTAATAGAGTTCAGGTATTCTCATGAAGACGAAATGGAATAAAGGAGCACCGTGGTTGAGGGGTCATCCTTCCTGGTAAATGATATGGTAACACTGCTAGTACGCGTCAGAAGGGCCAGATGATGAAAGAACGTGGAGACGAGGGAAGCAAGGCACATATCGGACGAACTCTCGCAGATTGAGAATTACACAGATACATAAGATCTGGAGCTGTTGTCCCATCCAACAGCGTCAGTCTCCGATGAAATATCGTTACTCACTAGTAATCAGGGCGGCAGCTGATAAGACGTATAAGGATTGGGAGGATTACCGCGCAGCTGCAGCCGCCGCACGGCAGCTGCATCCGCCCAACTGGCGCCCAACTGGCGCCCAACTGGACATGCGTGACTGGACACGCGTGATAACGATTGGGAGGATTACCGCACAGCTGAAGCCACACAGCTGCAGCCGCACAACTGGACACGCGTGATAGCATATCTGTGTTCCTTTCAATGGCGCGCGGGTATGAAAAGGAGGGGCAGTCATCGCCAAAGAAGGGTGGTTGAGCATGAGTAGAACTTGAAGCCTCAGGTATTCTCAGGGAGACGGGATGGAATTGTCCAACGTCGTTAGAAGGCCCAGATGGCATAAGAACGTAAGGACGAGGAGACCGCAGCACATTTCGGACGGATGCTTGCATGCTTGTCTTCCTTTCAATGGCGTGGGGGTATGAAAACGAGAGCCTGGGGCACTAGTGATATTGATATAGCGCCGCGAGAAGCGTACTAGGGTTATTTATATGACGCCGCAATCAGTCTGTTAGCTTAGCCATCGCCGAGAAAGGGCGGTTGGGCATGAGTGTAGAATTAATATCATGGTCCTGGATTACATCGGGAGATTTGCCAAACGTGGAACTGGAATACTGTCATGAGGCCTTGGGGGAAATTTCTATGAGACACTGGAACAATTCGGTTAAGTTGGGACGTCCTTTTTGCTGGAAACCGGGCACTGTTGTATTGGTGCGTTACCTTTGAAAATAAAAAAGGAAGTTCCCACGGGTTGCCGACCATCGGGTGACCCGGAACCTCAAGCTCCACACGACACCCACTTGGAGGCTATCGGACAGCCTCTGGGATAGGTCCGTGACACCCTCCTCATGTATGACAGGACCAGAACATGGGTGGATGCTGCTGTCGTCACGGGGTCGCTTCGCGGTGCCATGATTGCTCTTGCAAGATCAGGAATGGTTTGGTGAAGCTCATCAAGAACTTGGCATAGTGGGTGGCTCGATAGGCTGGGGTGGGATAGGTGAAAGTTGCCTGAATGGTGGCCTAGGTATAGTTAGCATTGTCATGTAGAAGCATTAATTTGTTCTAACCAAGGGGGTTTGAGCGGAGACATACATACTAAGTAATTCAATCGGCAATTGCCGTACCCCGGCCATTGCCGCATTCCATATTGGGCATCCACCTAGAAGTCGAATTCACCGCCAACTAGAAAGATGGAGGTATGTGGATCAATTAAACATTGTTCCCAATGATGGCATGTTGTTTTAGGCTCATGAGGGGAGTGCAGAGAATCATTCTCAAGTGTGTCCGGAGTGTGGTATGGACGTACTTCTGGGGACCGGCAAGGCAAGATGCTGTGAATCCCAAGAAAAGCGGGAGAATAAAGTAAAAGCTCAACCACAAGCTGAGTTAATGGCTTCATTATTCAAAAAAAAGGAGTCTGTACACCGCCCAACTGTGGTCCCCCCTGCTTTACTCCAAAGTCTAGCCCCTGAGCCCATCCATTCACCCTTGCCATCAAAACCAAATCTTCCACACACTGAAGAAGCTCCACCTAGTCAACCAGACAAAGGACTGCAATCAGCCAGTTGCTTATCAAAACTGAGACATATTGCGACGAACCTCCCTGATACTGTCCCACTTGCTGCTCCCTCAGACCCTATTGCAGCTCTCACTGGTGACCCTAAAGAAATAGTGGCCACTCAAAAGCTGGAAGAGCCAGATGAGGATGTATATGAGTGGCTGGATAAAAAACTCAACAATATTTGTGGTGAATATGCAAACAGAATGGCACCCTAGCATCAGCCATTAGACAGGGCCCAATGGGGTTGCCAGGGCTTTGTGCTACACTCCAATACTTCACCAACAACAAATTTGCTTCTGAAGAAATTCTGGAGATCCAAATCAATAACCTGATTGAGGAAGCAAAAAAAATGTATGTCACCATCACCATTAAATTCAAATCCCCCCAAAGTGCTGCTTAACATAATTCCAATAGAATCCCTCTAGAGTCCCATCCTGCATCAACAAGGCCCTCCCCAAGGAGACAGGATAATACTGTACTCACTAAGCGCATGTTGCCTTCACCGCAACCTGGTACCAAACACCTCCCATTTCTCCTGGACTCTGATGAGGACAGCGACTCACCTCCACAAATAATTGACAACAAGCATCCATGCCAAGGAATCAGAATCGACGTTCCTGAAGGGAGAAGCCCATTTCTTGAGTGGCCATGGAAAGAACAAGCGGAGTTAGCAATGGCTTGGGACATCCACACTAAAAATGGTATTCTTACCTTGCATGCTCCCACTTGTCTACAGTTGACACTGTGGGTTAATGAGCCATGCCAAGAATGCCAACTCCTCCAAAACAATCAAAGACTTTGCCATATTCAGGACCGGATCCACAGAGGCATCCCCAAGACCACCCCATATAAGTACCTTGGGATGTCTGGATTAATTGAAATTCTCAGGTGGAAAGACCGTCAAATTGACAGTCTCAAACTTAAATGTCTTAACACCAATCGGAAACTGGATTTGCTCATGACTTCAAACCTGGACTACAAAAGATTCGTCATGGCTGTGGGCGAGTGCAATGTACCCCACTTGAATCAACTTGTGTGGTCCACACTATGAAAGAAGCATGGGATTAATGGAATCATTCAACTTATTGGGAGAGCCACACTTGGAACTTACAGCCCAAGGCACACAGAACAAGAACACCTTATGAGTGTTGTGCTCTACCGGTTAGGGGGCACACACGTTGCAGAGTTTGCACATGCAGCACTCAGCATGCCAGGGATAGCAACAACCCGACAACACTGCACAACCTCAATCCATGCTTCTCCTGCCTTCCCAACCCTTGATGAAATGAGATCAAACATCACAACAGCGTTTCAAATTGATGCCCCTTCCAATAATCAAGTTGTCGGCCTTGTTTGTATGATAGATGAGATTAAGGTGGAAGAGGTGTTGGACTGGTGCCTGCACACCAACAGTGTGATCGGCCTTTGTTGAGAGCATTCAGGGTGTAATGCACATGCAATCAATAACATCGATGATGTGCATACACTGTTTGATGACTTAGCAAACAGAAAAGTGCATTTCGGCATGGAGGTACGTCTAGGAAAAAGGGTTGTGAACCATAGCACCAGCTAAATCATAGACAATAGGCTACAGTTGCCGCAATTGGAGCTCTCACCGGGAATCATCGCCAATACATCGCACGGCCATTTCTAATCAGTGCAACATGCAAAAATGAGAAAGCTGACAAACATGCTGATCTCCTCCGCCTAGCATGCAGTGCCTGCAACTGTCATATCCGTGCATACCCAACCCTGACCCGACTTCCGGACCCCCACCCTCTTCACCTCCGGAGTCATACCCTACCGCTGCCGTTCCGATACTCACCTTCGGTCCTGGCAACACACCTCCTTCTACCCCCCACACCACCTCTACTCCTCCTTCCCTCTCCTCCCCTATCTCCGTCCGCTCTGATACTCACCTCGGACTGAACACCGCCCCTCTCGCCACCCTCCTACTCTTCCCCATCCGCTCCGATACTCACCTTCGGACCCGACAACTCTCCTTTCCGCCGCTCCTTCCCCCTTACCTTTCCCCTCTCTCCTCCCTCTGGTACTCCTCCGCCACCCTCCTGCCAAGTTATGACCTTCCACCGCTGTCCCGTACTTCGTACTCAGACACCGCTTGTACCTTTGCTCCGAGCCTCCGTCATAGTCCCTACCTCGGACTTTGACCCCACCTCGGTCTTAGTCCATTGCATTGGTGACCTCATACTACGTAAACACCATTGCCAATATCCCTCGGACTTTCAACCCTGCCTCCATAACCTCCGTAAGCTCTGCAACCCCCGAGCTTCGCAGATCGCCTTCGGCACTTTCGCCGCTTGTAATGTATCTCTCGCGTTTACCCCTCATGTCATATCCGTGCATACCCGACCCCAACCCGACTTCCGGACCTCCACCCTCTTCACCTCCGGAGTCATAACCTACCACTGCCGTTCCGATACTCACCTTCGGTCCTGGCAACACACCTCCTCCTTACCTCTCCGACCCTATCCCCGTCCGCTCCGATACTCATCTCGGACCGAACACCGCCCCTCTCGCCACCCTCCTACTACTCCGCTCCCCCTTCACAACACCTCCACCCTCCATCATCCTCCTACGCTTCCCCCGTCCGCTCCGATACTCACCTTCGGACCTGACTACTCTCCTTTCTGCCACTCCTTCTCCCTTACCTTTCCCCTCTCTCCTCCCTCTGTTACTCCTCCGCCAACCTTCCACCAAGTTACGACCTTCCACCGCTGTCCCGTACTTCGCACTCGGACACCGCTCGTACCTTGCTCCAAGCCTCCGTCATAGTCCCTACCTCGGACTTTGACTCCACCTCGGTCTTAGTCCATTGCATTGGTGACCTCATACTACGTAAACACCATTGCCAATATCCCTCAGACTTTCAACCCCGCCTCTGTAACCTCCGTAAGCTCTGCAACCCCCGAGCTTCGCAGATCGCCTTCGGCACTCTCGCCGCTTGTAATGTATTTCTCGCGTTTTCCCCTCATCCCTATTTGGACTACTGCTTCTTCCTATTCTAGCCAGTTAGTCATCATCCCCACTTCCCCTCATCCTCCTGCCCCTCTGGGCCTTGCCCTCCCTACCTCCTTTCGGACGTATCACAGGTCCTGCCTTATGACCTTCGGTACCACTCCGCTCCTTCTACCCTTTGTTCCCGTTCGGACGTCTTCGTTCCGATTCGGTTACCCTTTGTTTTCCTTGTGCTTTTGCCCCTTCCATTATATATATCGGCGCTTGTACATACTCGTTTTGGTTTAGTCCGAAATCGACCTGAAATGCCCCCTAGAGACTTCCTGCTCACCTACTGTGAAATTAAGGACCAAATGGACAAACAGCAATGGCACAGCGCTCCGCTTGAGTCGCTGAGGCCAAGGTCCCTCCACGCTAAGTCTCCGATTCCACTCCGGAGTCGTCTGTTTCCGCCCGTTCTAACACCTCATCCCTATTTGGACTACTGCTTCTTCCTATTCTAGCCAGTTAGTCATCATCCCCACTTCTCCTCATCCTCCTGCCCCTCTGGCCTCGCCCTCCCTACCTCCTTTCGGACGTATCACAGGTCCTGCCTTATGACCTTTGGTACCGCTCCGCTTCTTCTACCCTTTGTTCCTGTTTGGACGTCTTTGTTCTGATTCGGTTTCCCTTTGTTTCCTTGTGCTTTTGCCCCTCCATCATATATATCGGCGCTTGTACATACTCGTTTTGGTTCAGTCTGAAATCGACCTGAAATGCCCCCTAGAGACTTCCTGCTCACCTACTGTGAAATTAAGGACCAAATGGACAAACAGCAATGGCACAGCGCTCCGCTTGAGTCACTGAGGCCAAGGTCCCTCCATGCTAAGTCTCCGATTCCACTCCGGAGTCGTCTGTATCAGCCCCGTTCTAACAGCAACCAAATGAGTAAGGAGACCAAGGGGAGTGTATATTGCCTTGCCTCAGATGGCGAATCAAGGCGAGGAAAGGCACTTGTAGCCTTAATGGAGCACACACCACTATCTCCAACATCCTGCTTATATGCTTACCTGGGTGGGCTACCGCTGCTAAACCTACTGGTTGGAGAGGATGAGTTAACATCTGACAAAGACTACAAGCATGTTATGAAAAGACTTTGACACACTCACCTGAGGCCCAGCGGTGTTTCAGTCGGTGGTGTTCAGATTACACCCTCAGTCCTGCAGTCCCACCTAGAAGGCAACAAATACCCCTCAAGCCAAATCAACAACCTGATGAATGTCACAGATAAACAAGACGTCACTACAATGTTTAACCTAATGCTACTTATCTGGAAGTTACCACCACCACTCACCACAGACAATCCCATATACTACAAAACTCGTGTTGCCCTCAATCAACACTCAAAGCTTGTCAAATATCTAATCCTACCCTACATAAATGTTGACATGAGCCTTCATGATCAACTTAAGTCTCTTAGTGCAGCGGCACACCTGGCATACATATTCTTTACCAATCATAATGCACACTCGGCTTACCTCCCATCACCCCTTTACCATGATATCCAAATCATGGTCAAAAACGCGTTCTTTTGCGTGGCAAAGATGAAGCATGACAATCCCAATGGCGAGTTCTTCTTGATCCTGTTGGGCATGGATAGGCTGGAATGGATTTTTGGCCTTATCAGATCTCAAAATGGGAGCGATGTTAATGTTAGCACTTACACTTTATCAGGCCGAACTTCAGGGGCTGTCGAATGCCACTCAATCCTCTCCCAACACCCAGAATGGGACCGGGGCCCTCGTCGGCTAAGGCTCCAGGGTTTAAGCACCACAACAGGGATAGAGCAAAAAATCGATCACCTCAATACAGCATTGTGGAAGGGAGATGTGCGAGTCTCTGGTGTACAACTGATGTCTGCATGGAGATCTGGCTGGCATGAGGTAGAAAATGATCCAGAACTCACGGCATTCAGTCCTGCAGAAAAGTTTGGCAAGCTTGAGTCGACCCCAGGTGCCGATCTGCTAAACCCTTTCGGGATGGAGTATGTGAAGATGGTGAAAATGAAGAAACGTACGATGAAACTCCCCAGCAACCCAACCCAGATTCCACCATTCCCATTGTACCCGACTTGCTGGAACTTGAGGAACTCGTTGACAACGAGGATGCGCAGAAAAATGGGCTCGAAAGTACAATTGATGTGGGGAATGGGAAGCATGTACACAAGGCAAAGGTTCTGCATGAATTCACAAGGTTCACAAGAACATCAAACTCGACTGACCGATTGAGACGTGTTGCCAATATTTCCCGCTTTGCCCAAATCCCCACCATGCCACATCATCACATTGGTGATGGTTCTATCACGGAGACCGAATGCATCTTGATCCAAGATCCAGTAGCCACGCTTCTGAGATGCGAGGGAATCCCATTTCTGGGTGTTGCCCAAGTTAGTTCCATCAAAGTTGATAAGAGTTCCCAAAGTGCAGTATCAAAAGACTTACTCAACGAAGAAACAGTCACCATCGGTCTTCAAATCCTCTGCTTGAAGTCGCAAAACATAATTCTGTCAAATGGGAAGGATGGTGATTGGGTCTGGCAGCATGGACGAGATGCAAGCATCGTGGTTCCCAGCAAGTTCATCCAGCAAATCAATCCTGATGTTGTTACTGTCAAAGAAGAGAGCGCCATGATCGGAGCAGGAATCAGAAGAGAAGGTGGCTTGAGGAAGGCTGTAGGATATGGGTTTCGAAGTGATGAGCTGCGAGAGTTAGCAGCAGTGATGTTTGGGGCACTCTTGCTGGATGATCGACATAAGATAGTTGAGATCAAACAGTCGGATAAGTTCCCTTACCAGGTTAACGGTGAGCTAGTTGGCTGCAGGTTACAACTGTCACACGAAACTCATTGGGCAATTCTCTCATCAGGCAGAGTGTGTTTTGCATGTGAACTTGAGGGGGATGACAGAGACGTGGTAACAACGAATATTTCTTGCGAACATTGTCACGCGATCTTTGAAACAGCCCCAAAATTACTCGCACACATCGCAGCTCACATATTACATGACCCAACTATTAGCTGAGAGGATGAGCCATGCGGGCTCTGTCTATCACCAGCACCTTCATGTCAGATTGGCCTGAAGAAATATAAAGCATCTTTTACGCTTGATTATACTAATTTGATGTGTCAGAGGCTGATTAAGTTTTCTTACGCCACTGCTTCCCAACCTTCACCTACAAACCCATGTGCTAATGTTCCCATAAAGTGTCCATGGTGCCCCAAAGGATCCAACACGGTATGGAAGTACAACATTGCTTTTCATTATGCGAAAAACCACTCCCCTTCTGTTCCACCTAGCGAATTTGACATCTCAGATTTTGAGCTGGAAGGTCTCAAGATGGTCTGGAACAATCGCCATACTGCGAATCGAGGGGAAACTAGACAATGGAAACACTTAGCGGTGAAACTCAACATTTCTGAAGCACATAGTTCCCGTCTCTGCCTTCAGTATGTCCCAATCCTTCTTTACTTATTTATCACTTCAGATGTAATATTAATTATTAATCTACATCCAGGGACACAGACCTGGAAACACCACCCGAAGTCAATGCAGACTCATCCACTGGACCACTGGAACAAGATATCGACAATGACCTCGATACCAGCACCCCCAAACATATTCCCACCTCTCCTAGCCCCCATCCACCCTCCCCAGCCTCAGCTTTGCCAACCACCTATTCCAGTGGCTGTCCAATGTGCCATGCTCCCAAACGTCCTACTGGCATTCATATGTGTTGTACCATGAAAGTTACTGCAAGCGAAATTAACAATGGTACTAATGTTGTTAGGTGTAATGGGACAGGCTGTGAGATGGTTTGGGTATATGCCTTTTACCGTACCTTAATACTGTTGTTGTTTTCTGACAGACAAATTAGTTCCATAGGTCATGTCAGGGTCTAGGGTCCTACATCCCCCTGAACTGGACATGCAGTGCCCATCAAGAATCCTGCAACAGCAAATGAGCAAGGAAACAAGGCTAACTATTGGCATAGTGGAGGTTTTCAATTTATTTTCAATGATAATATACATTTGAAAATACATTTGAATCGAAAATTTTGACGTGCGCAAAATAGGTTTAGTCCCTCCGACCAGAGACTATCATACTAACATGGGGTTCAGCATTTCCTGAATGACCCCCCCTTGGTTCTAACTTACTTTCTGAATTCTGTCCTGTTGATTTATAGCATGGAATGTATGAACCAACATCTCAGGGACATGGTCCCTTAGTATGCCAAGTCTGGTATTGAGTTTTATATCATTTGAGTGGATCCCATTTTTCAACTGTGAGAAAACCTCCTTTATGGCTGCAGATTGCTGACACTGTTTTGGCACAGCTTGTTTCAATGGATGCTGGATACCCACATCACAGGGCTTGTTATAAAAATGGGGCCTAATTGGCCCATTTCTATAGTGTTCAGGTGCAGGGAGGGGCTGTGACATTGAGGTGGTTATACAGGTAGTATGGCAGATGTTGTCACTGCTGGGGTTTACAGAGACATCAACAATGGTGTTTTTGGGTGATAATAGTTGGTTAAGTTGTAACTATATACATGTCATGTGATATTGTGCCACATAGAGCCCATAAGAGGCTAAAAATGGGAAAATCCCATTTCCATAACAGGGCTGCCAGAGACCCATACAACTGCCAGGAACATAATTGAGTATTATCCAAGGATAGTTATCATAAATCCAGATGCGAAACTTGAGGGATGCATGAACTGGCCATACACTCTTGCAGTGGATCAAGAGAAAGCTGTGTGTCAGGGTCCAGCCCTCGTTCCATGATAGGGCCAGGGAGATCCTCCTAGTTTCTGGGGTGTCTAGTCCCAGTCCGAGATCCTCAAACTCACTGAGGGGGCTAGCCCCAACCTTCACAGGAAATGAGTTGAGAAGAAGGGTAGCCTTCTCAACCTCCTGTGAAGCTGCTACAAATGGGAGTCGGGAACTATACAGTTTTCGGCTCTTTGCCGACTTTCCATAATTGGCACCCCCCGTGGGAAGATTCTGGGCGAGCTGCTCACCCAGAAAGTTCCCACAGTTGTGGCTGTGATGGTTTCTGGGCAAGTAACTCGCCCAGAACGTTCCCACAGGTCTGCATGCATGCAGGATTGTGAAGGGAAAAATAGGAGAAAATGGGGGAAGGGTACCTGAGGGTGTGTGGGGTCAGGGGCTGTGCCCTGACACTGTGACTGAAATAAGGGACCAAGATGTGTGTTACAAATGACTTCATAGTCATGATGTTTGCCCAGTATGTGTCACTTCCAGAGACTGTCAGAGATGGGAATACTGTCAGAAGATGGGCTGGTTTCTGTCTGAGTTGAGGTTGGAGGTACTGGCAGAGGTCTGTTGGAGCATGCATGTGCAGAAATGTGGGCGGAAATATGTGGTGCATCTGGAAGTGCTGTTCAAGGTTAGCAGAGTGGGATTGTGGCCTCAGCAACTCAAGTGGAGCGCTGTGCCCTGAGCTTGATGTCTGGGGGAGATCCCTTATTTACAGACTGACACTTACAGTGAACTTCAAACAAGACTTGCAGGTGGAGTGGGCTCATAGGAGAAGCATGGACTCTGTGAGCACAGACTCAGAAGGGGGGAAGCCCCTTTGCAGAAGGAGGGACTCAGACCAGACAGGGGGGGTACTCTAGTTGATTTCAGACTGAGGTCCCTGAAAGTATTTACAGGATATAAATAGGCAGGAGGGAAACACAGAAGGGCCTGTCAGTCCAGCGTGGGAATAAGTGGGGATTGTCAAACTGAATGAAGGACAAGAGCCCAGGAAATGGGAGGCAAGAAATGAACTAAAGCAAAGCGGATCAAGTGCCAATATTGACAGGTTAAGTGAATGAATAAGAAGTGCATCAGCACATGGATCAAGTGCCAATATCGGCAAGTTAAGTGAATGAATAGATGAACAATATAGGCACTCAGCAAGGAATGAATGGTATGCTGCTGAGTGACAAAAATGGCCAGAGGAGAAAAGTGGAGGTCAGTGCACAGCGCCGATACAAGTCTGCAAATAAGCGGGGTCAGTGCAGTGCTGACACAAGTCCGTGAACAGAGGTTGATCTGTCAGTACTGTCACACAAGGACAGCATGAAGGCCAACAGAGGTACAGAGGAGAGTGGGGGTGTTGACCTGACCAGAGGTGTCAAGGGCAACCAGAAGTGGGCAGAGGGTGCAGAGATGGGCAGAAGGCATGGAAGTGGGCAGAGAGTGTGGAATGCATGGAAGCGGTGCATGGCTGTGACCACATAGTAGGAAGCAATGAGTGTGGTTCAGATGGAGACAAGGCATGCATAGGAACTGGAGGAACTGAATGCCAGGAGCACCAAGGGCTCAGGAACTGGAGGTAAGGTCAGAATGCCAGCAGGGTCTAGGTTCTGATTGTTGGCCAAGTCTCATCCAATAAGGCAGGGGGCCAGACATCGGGTTGGGGGCTGGTTAGGATGGGTTTCGGGTCGGCAGATTCACCTATTGGCATTGGTTCACTGCTGACGGAGCCCCAGGATTTGCCAGTTGTGACAGAGACCTTGAAGATGAAGCCAAGTCTCATTGCTTCCTCATAACTTTGGACACTCTTTGACAGCAAACCTGTGGAGGTCTTGCCATGGAAGATGGCCTGGAATAGAAGGAGAACTCCACTAGCAGAGATTGTGACATTATGAGTGAACATGCTGTAGGTGGGCACAGCCACTACCACACAAACAAGCCAATTATCATGATTCTACCACCCTCGTCAAGCACCCCACACAGTTCCAGATACCATTCCCATGTTTCCCATATTTTTTCCGATTTTTTCGAGCCATCCCTGACCATGCACAACCATCAGTTTCCAAATCAGGCAACTGTCACCCATGTATTCCACCGATCCAGATGAATTTGGTATGGAAAGCCCTTGTCAACACGAGTTGAACGATGTTACAAGTGACAGATTTGGCTCAGCAGTTGTTCTGATTGCTGTAGTTCTTTATTTCCTTAACAACATTAATATTTCTTTGATATTACTTTTTTCTTATTTATTCCTTGTGGATCTGTTGCCATCCTAAACCCATCGGATCATTTGGATTTCCACATGTATTTCTTTCATATTTATAGCTACCTATTTTACAAAAAAAGGATTCCCCCAAGAGAGAGGTGCTCCCCAAACAAACATGAACTTCTAGCAGACATTACCAGCGCCCAGAGCAGTGAATACGAAGCCAAAGAAGCCCAAGATATAGTGCAGGGGCAGAGTTCCCCTTAGTTTGATTTTCAGTGAGATTTACTGTTATGAAAATGGGGCTGGAGGTGCCCATTTTTGTCCATCCTAGGTGCAGGAAGAGGGAAAGGTGTCATATCCATACCAACTCTGCCCAACCTCCAGCCTACTCTGCCACTGTTCCAGTCCACCTCCATTCCGTCCCCTCCCTCACCTCTGCCATACCCTCCAGTATACCTCCAGTCCACCTCTGCCTCCGATCTCCAGTACCATCTCCGGTACCCCTTATCCTAATCATAGAAGGTTATTAATATTCCTACCTACCCAACATTACTATGGACCTCCTAGGACCTCCGCTAATCCTGAAAAGGTTTCCCACTATCCAATAGCTGTCGCTAATCCCACCCTTCAACTACTCACTCCACAGTTGTCAGGGGATGACTCCCGGGTCCCCATGACCCTCCCCTATGGTCCACAGCCCTGTGGTGTAACCAGCCCTATCCAGGGCACAACCTACTGTGGGTAAGGAGATGAATAGATAAACAGGAGGTAAGGTACTGTCAGGGCAATAGCCCTGAACCCCGAGCCACATGTAATTAAGATACATATAGTCATGTGGGTAAGTGGGAACCTCCAGGTAACTGCTTACACACTACCGTAAAATACACACCCTTGTATCACTTACAGCTCTGTGTGCTGAGCTACCCTGAGACCTCACACTTGTTTAAGTGTATGAGGTGTGTTTTACAACACAACCCACAAAAACTCAACAATCTTAACACCTGACTCGGTAGCACCAATGGCGCCTAAACATGCCCACAAGGGCAAGGTTGCGTCTGCAGTGACGTTAAAAAGAAATGAGCAGTTCATTAAGAAACTGCAATCTCCCATCATGGGAGATTCAAATCAACAGTCATCATCAGACGACGACGACGATCAACATAATCCGGTAACAGCAACCACCTCAGGGCTGGCCCCTGAAGGTTTTAGAAACTTACGTGGAGTAAGTGCGGGGCCCAATACCCCTAGAACTCCATGTCATACCAATCTAACCCAAGCTGGGGAAGATCCCTCACCTCCTCAGGAGGTGATCGACTTGCGCAATAAACGCGTAAGCACCAAACAATCAGCCCAAAAAGCTGATCAGATAGAGTCGCAGGAAACTCCAGGGCCCCACTATCCCCTGGAGTCCTTCCCCATGTCCCCAAGCCAAGCCCCAAAGGCAGACAAAGGGAAACAAAGGGAAGAGCCTCCGCATCAACTATCCGAAAAACTACTGGACTTGTTCCAGGTTCCATCCAAATGGAGGACAGAAAACGAAGACCAACTTCATCTCAGGCTGGAAGCCCAAGAAGGCGCGAAAAAATGCCCTGAGAGCAGGATCTCCCAGAGCACAGAAGCTCCAAAAGAACTTCCGCTGTTTACACTACCCCACACCATGCCAGACAAGGCAAGGTTGCCAACCTTGGAGGAGGTCTCCAAGATAATGAAGAGGAGGCAAACTGAAATGAGGGAGTTCGCTGAGGAAGCCTTATGGAAAAGTAAGGAAAACCCAGCAAACAGACCCCTCTATGAAAGGGAAGCACCCTCTGCAATGGCCTTGCCTAAACAAAGCGAGCGTGGAGTATTCACTCCAAGAACCCCTTCTGGAACCCCCAGAAGCGGCAATGTCAACTGGGGAGAGTCACTGCTTGCCCAACCAAACTTCCTCCTGGAAAACCAGGAATTGCGCATAATAAACGCGATAAACTCGATCCAAAAAAAGATCGAGGAAATGAACCACAATAGCACGGCTCATCTAGAGATAACTCTAGAAAGAATGGCCAATGCAATCGATG